GCTATGTAGCAGTAGTAATGGCAGGGATTGTTTCATGTGAAATAAATGGAATTGGTGAAACAAGGCAAAGAAATGAAATAATTGTGGAGGTGATACTTTGTGGTGTTTTACTATTTGTTTCTGTTTCTAGGTAATGTGATGCTAGGAATGCTTATCATTTGAGAAGACAGTTTGAGACTAGGGTGATAGGAGCTCATGAGATAAAATATAAGTCTGTGTTCTCATAGGAAGAATTCATGCATGCCATATCTAATTGTCTTTAGAGTTCACTAACCAAAATAGTCAATTTACTTCTAAGCGTTAATTTCAATAGCAGTTCAGCATCACTGCAAAGCCTTTACTTTCCTTGCCAAACAATTTTTTGCATTAAAAATTACATATGCTGTGATTTTTAAATTACATTGTTTACAGTTTTTGCTATTTGAAATTTTTATCTACTTTTCTGGATGCATCAGAAAATATACAGAAGAAAGTTAGTAAGTAATGAATGGTTTATTTGCACAATTAGTGCAAATGTAAATTCTCCGTTCTTCATCTCATAATTTAAGCAGATGTGAAACAGTCTCTTAAGAGTTTTATGATTGTTTTTTTTTTTTTTAATTGTTGCTTTAGTAGTGATGTGCTGTTGCTATTTTTGCAGCGTCAAAATCATTCTCTGTTTGTCATCCTACATTTGGTTGCAGTGGAGATGATTGTCAGAGAAATACAAAATTCCAGGAAGCATTAATTGAAATGGTGGGTTTATATTCAGCATGCAGTAACTGACAGCTGTAGATAAGGAACAGAAAAAATTCATTCTCCAGTTTTTTAATCTTCTTCTCCCTCCAAAAAAACAACAATGAAATTGGAATGAAATCAGATGAAATCAGAAATGCATTTAATATACTGCACAACATTGTATAAAATGTCTTCTATGCAATTACTTTCTTTTTCTCACAAATTTCCAACAAATTTTGGGGAAAATTTTTGGAAACTGAAACCTTAAGAAATTATTCAAGTGCTGGAAGCATCAGTAATAAATTTTCACAATATCTCTTAAACCTGTGTATACTATTTGTATGTAAATTTAACCCAAATCTGCATAATCAGTCTGAAACACTTGGGTCAAACAAAGAAGTATTGCACAGCTTCAACATAGAAAAGCACTCAAATATAATAAAATATTCATGCTTGTGAGGACAAATGAACATAAAACCAGCCAGTCTATGGCTTATTTTCATACAGAATATAAGACAGATGACTGCTTCTTTTGCCAGTAACATATGAAGTCTGAAGTCCTATTGAACTGGTATTTCCAGTCATTTTTTTTTTAGTCCCCACTGGTTCTTTTTTGCTCCATTAGTTGTTTTATATCTTCATATAGAAATGATATTTCAAATTACTTTCATTTGCAATGCTCTTTCATTATTGTCACAGGACTCCATACTTAAGGGACAAGTGAGAAATAAAAAAAAAAATGTTCAGGACCAGTAATGAAGTCAGTATGTGTAATATGAAAAAAACATTAAAACAATCTAGCAGCAGGAAAGCCATCTCCTGGTTAAAAGTACTGGTGAGGACAGATGTCCACTTCCAGATCTCACTGTGCTAATTGACGTTTTTACCATCTGTACTGCCTGTCGGTGCGTAGCAGCTGGGAACCAGCATCCTGCAGATCTGCCGGTGCAACGGAAAGTGTGAGCGACCTCTAATCCTCTTCAAGCAACTAAGTTAGGCTTGCTCAAAACACCTTTAGGACTATTTAAAATAATGTTTCTGAATAAAGGAGATTCTTTGAAAAAGATAAGGAGTGCCCCCTTATACCTTCTGCTGGCAATAGCGTGGAGAATTTATGGAAGCTTTTGCAAAATGAACATCTTACATTGCCTCAGATTCTGAATCGCATTTTGCTTAGCTGTATCTCTTTGTATAACTTTGGCTTCTTGATGTATTTTATTGTCCCTTTCTGACCTTATCTCTGCAGTAATGTTTAGGACTGTTATGATGTGATTTCATCAACTGGTGTGTAGATTTCTTCATTCTCTCCTTTCCTTTCTCTCTTTCTCTAAATACAGGAGTCTGTTAGTCTCTGGCATTTAGTGTTAGAAAAAAAAACAACCCCAAAATGTTGTTGAATGGGTTTTTTTGAGTGATGGCCAGATCTCAGGAGAAGGGAAACCTTTTGGTTTGAACTGAACATCAAATTTCATTTTCCAGTATTTCTAAATGATTTACAAGAAAATATATTTCATAATTAAAGGTGAATATGGTCTTTTTTTTTTTTTTTAGGTGAGACTGACATGGTCAGTCATTTCACCAAGACGTAGAGTTACAGAAAAGAATAAAATCACACATATGATTTACCCTTGTCTATTTATGAATCTTAAGGAAGATACTACTTATTGCAAAAAATGAGAGAGTACACTTAAATAGAATTTAAGTCTAAATTCCAACGTAGGTTACTTAGACTATAATCTGGAAGATAATGGTGACCAGAGATGCTTTAAACTCAATCTAGTCCTCAACCTTATGGCGTCTAAATTTCTATGGTGTCTAAATGAACAATTTTTGTCTTAGAGAAAAAGCAGCTCTTTGAGTTCCAGTATTTTTCTTTTGCTTTGGAGGCTTCTCAGTATGCACGTGCATTTATATGTGCATTATGATCAGTAACATAGGATAGGATATGTATACTTTTTTATGGCCTCCTGACAGAAAAGTATATAGCGTAATTTCAAAGTCGTGAATTCTTCATGTCTAGGTAAATATAATTAGGATTGCTGAGAAATACTACAGCTATTTCTTGTGCTGTTTCAGCCATCCCTTCCGTGCTGTTGAGTACCCAGTCATCTACTTACTTGCTGGAGCTAACCCGCCACTGTGCACATATGTTCTGTATTGCAAAGTAGACATTTTTCAGACATCTCTTCCTTCCACTTTCCAATATGCTTTTGAGTTTTCTCTGTTTCAAGGTTTTGTATTGCTGCTCGTAGATGCATTTTATGAACATTTCTGCCAAAAATCCCTAGCACTATCGATGCTGTCCGTGTACTTTCCCCTTTATGTATGAAGCCACTGCTGTATTTGGAATAGATTGTTTTTTGGGGTCCTAGTGCAAATTGTGCAGTCCATTTTTAGTGAAAATCCTTCCTTGTATCAAAGGGCTTTGCCACCCTCTGAAAGCTAATCAAACTGCCCTTGTTTGGTCTCTGCTAAAGGCTTGTCCCTATGTCAGATCCCATCAGTGGCGAGTGACTCCCCTGATCTCTCACGTGTATTGTCCTACCTGCTGTCATCTGCATTGATTCTCCAAAGGGCAACTACCCAAATGGCTCATAGCCTGCAATTTGTATTTCATAGGGGAAAGCATTTACCCCACGTTGCAAGCTGACTGGGAGCTCATGGAGGAGCGGGAAGGTTTGACATGTTACTGTTTGAATTCCAGAGAATAACGTAGATGCACTTCACAATAGCTGGAACCTGTCTGTTACAGTGTCACTAAACACTAGGTACTGAAAATTAAATGAAGTGAGGTAATAATAACTACAGCATGCCTTTATCTGGGAGAAAAGGATAGGATTTCTTAGAAGCTGACAGTGAAATGAAAGTTTGATGAATTAACCAAGAGCCAGAAGCTACCCAACAGCTGTAATTATATACCTTAAGTGAAAGGTGAGTCACCGTCGTTGCCTGTACTGTGGCAGGATTGATAGGTTCAGAAAAGCATCGCTTTCGTCTTGAGGAAATTATGCTTGAGCCTGGTGCTTTCATCCAAGAGGTGACTTACTGGGACATGCACGCTGCTGGGAACAGTTGCACCAGTCGTGAATAAACGGGACATAAAGCTGAGTAGCATTAGCACATTAGGATCCTGATTCGTTTTGCTTGACCTCTTGAAGGTGGTATTAATAGGGCTTTCTGTTCCTGAAGTACCCCATAGGTGTTGATGTGCTTCAGGAGAGGCAAGGACTTACCCTAAACTGCCTGAGAAGAATCCTTACAGCATGGGATTGATCCTTTCCTCTTGCTCTCTTACAGGCACCTTTGTATATCTCCGAGGTCAACTCCCAATTTAAGTATTTTCGTTAGGGTGAATAAACATGAATGACTTTACTGATCACATTGAAAACCTACAGTTTTGTAAATGTTCCAACTGATGCAAAATATTATTCGACACTTACAGCAGTTCTTTATGCTACTGAGAGCGCAGTATATGGGCACAGTTATTCTACACTAACACTTGCAAGTCTTTTTTTTTTTTTTTTCCTTTTTTTCCCCCTGAAAAAGGTGCTAGACATGCATACATTAATATAATTTAAAAACAGGAAAAAAAAAACCACCTAAGCGGGTTGTTCAGCGCAACCACACATTCTTACACTGTATCGTAAATGGAAATGTTCTTAAGTTGATGTATCACGCAAAATACCTGCATTTTTATATTGATTTAAGGAACCATATCGTTTCCTTTTTACTTTCTTTGCATATATAACCTGTCACTTTGGCTGTCTTTTTTCATTCAACAAAAAACTGATGCAGTTTGTTCCAGCAATTGTGTGGCAATACATATGCATCAAGAGAGGCTGAAGTAGAACAAGACATGCTTTATTGATTTATACTTTGAGGTCATCGACCTGATACTACCAAAAGCTGCCAACAGCTATTCCAACTTCATCCCAAATACAATTTATTTTGTGCTTTACGATCTATTTTCAGAAATCATTGCTTACATGTATGTATATATAATAGTCTTAGTAAAGTAAATGTACTAATTCAAGGACTTTTTTGTGATTGAAACTGGCAGGAATTAGTACTAAATAGAGTCCATAAGGATTCTGGTCAGAACATAAGGACAAATCATCTTGCAAAAACAAAATTTAAGTGGAATATCTACCTGTTTGTTATTATGTCATGGGTGGTATAGCTTCTTGTTGTTCTTGGAGAAATCATTTATAGGAATGCAGATACAAGTGGGCATTTTCTATTTCACTGCAATTTTAATTTATTTTATTTTATTTTATTTACAGGATTAGCTGGCACTGCTGCAGACCTAGAAAAAAGAAAGCTTATTTTTGGAAAAAATTTTATACCTCCAAAGAAGCCAAAAACATTCTTACAGCTAGTCTGGGAAGCATTGCAGGATGTGACTCTTATAATCTTGGAAATTGCAGCCATCATATCTTTGGGGCTTTCGTTTTATCAGCCACCTGGAGAAGGGAATGAAGGTAAAAACTTTTTATAGAAGTCATTTGTATAAGCTTAAGTAAAACCGGTCCTATATCTCAAATTAATTCCATCCCCACCCTCCAGAAGGTCGCTAACAGGAAATTTCCATGTGGTTTGATCCTGTTATCATTGCATCTGGTACTGACATATTTTTTTGTATGCTTGACATTTCTTTATGCAAATAGCTCAACCTTGTGACATGTGCTAAATGAGTTAAAGAAAAATCATAATATTCTTATAAAGCTGAAGTATTGTGTTTCTGTTTTCACCTTTGAGCTTGTGTTTGGTGTTTGTTTATTCATCTTAGATGGTTGTTTACCACATTATAAATATGTAATTGCTTATATAACTGATGTATCCTATCTACATGAACATAGACAAGTCTTCAGCTACTTCATGCCAGCTGAAAGCTTGCACTTAGTGAAATTCACTCATTTTAGTATTTTTAGTGATATAGCTAAGGCTAGTGACCCTGGCTCAAAAGGGAGTATTAGAGGCTAAGTCATGTTACTTACAAACTAAATTGTATACTGCAGAATCCTTCTGTGATATCTGTAGGAAGTTTTAACACCCTGCTCGGTCTCCCACCCCCCTCCTTTTTTCACCCTTTGGAAAGTACTCTTGAATTCACATGCTTAAAATATTCATTCCTCTACATAAATGCAAGATTTCCATTTCTGGCAACTGATCCAGATTCCCACCCCACCCCACCACCACCGCTCTCTTACAGACTTATAAAGCTGGATAAAACATGCTGTGTGAAATGACGTGAATAGCTTGGCAAATGTATGAAGAATGTCTTCCTCTAAATATAGCCTTGAAATGCTTTTTACATTCGCTTCAGTTTCCTTTGGCCAGTTTCCTTGAAGACCCTTCCTTCTTCCTTTTCCATTCACAAGCAGAATAAGCCTGTAGCTATGCGTAGCTCTTGTACCTTATTTACGATTCTTTAATCCTTTGTATATAATCAGGAGTCATTTGTTATTTTCTCGCTGAATTTTAAATACGTGACTATTGATTCAGCAGGTGTCTGATTTAAGCATGAAAAGATAAAGGAGTCATTTGTTTTTTAACTGAAGAAAACATTATTTATTGTTATTACTTCATATGACAGAACATAGTAGAATACCCCGGGGACATTGTAAACCATGAATGATGCTTTTCAAAATGAGAATTTAGTTCTGCAAACTTTTTTCTTAGGCATAATTGTGCAGACTACCCTCTTATTTTTTAGTTTACTTGGTGGGAAAGGAATTTTGAAAATAGGATTGTTACAGGTTTTAGAAAGAGGGGAGATGTGTCATCAGACAATGGGTTTTTTTTTAAATTACTATTCTTATTATTTTGATAATGTATTTAAAATGTTTTTTTTCCCATGGGAAGGTATGACACATCTGATATTCTGAGATAGTCTGAAAAGCTCAGCAGCACAGCCTAGGAAAAGGTATTTGTGTTTTCCCACAGCACAATATTTTATTCAATGGTCACTGTTTTCCCTTTATTTTTAGAATTGTTTTCCTGGAAGGTTTTGCCATGCTTTACACAGGGAGAATAAATCCAAGTTAGAGACTATCTTTTAATCCAACTTCTTGAATATGTTGTAAGGGTTCTTTATGGGCTTTTTTGAAGTCTTTCTCTGAGCAGTTGTGTAAATGTGGGAGACTCTCTTTCATTTTAAAATTAGTATGTTATAAAGTGCTACCAAGGATACCTATAGTTTATTGGTAGATGTCCTTTTTAAAGAGTCCTAAACATTGAAGAACTGACACATTAAGCTTGATTTTGCTATTGGTGAAGTGGGGTGTGGTCATACTTGAAATTGATTTGATGGCTTTGCATAACCTTCGGTAACCAATTATAAAATAAAATTACATGTAGACTAGTGTTGAGTAAAATTCAAATGAACTTTAAGCCAATTTCTTGAATTGAGCATGAACGTGGATTCAGACCAAACATGGGCCTATCTGAGGAGATTGTAGTTCTTTGAAAGGGCAGCAACCTGTATGCTTCCTGTCTTGTGAAATGTCTGCTTACCTGTCTAAATCTCATATTCATTATGCATTGCTTTAGATCAGACCATCTGTGCATTGCTGTTGTACCAGAGGATATGGGGGAAAAAAAAATCATATAATATGTAATGTCCTTGCAGCAGTCTCTTGAGGTGAGAGGGTAATATTGCCTATGGGATGTAATAGGGAATCCCTACCTGGTGGCTGAGATAAGTCACAAATGCTACTTTGGGAAGCATGAAAACTTGTATTTTCCTTTTCAGACTCTTCCCAGAATGAAAATTATTCATTGAAATGTACATTTATTTGGAAGTTTTAAGTTTTTTCGTGAAAAGAATGTATTTCCTTCTGTAAATACAACCCAATGTTAGGAAGAGGAGCTGGCATTTCTTGCTAACTGTCTGCTCTTGCCCGACTGCTCCACAGCCTAGTTTAAAAGTCTCTCAGACAGTTTCCGGATGAGCTTAGTAGTTGTGCTGGATGATGCCTTTGTGGGGAGCAGGTGAGAGGCAGTGCCAGTCCCTGGTGCTCAGATCTCCCCTCGATCTCTTCATGGAAGCAGCGTGGAGGGGCCGCGGTGCCTGCTCACAGCCACTGAAGCTTGGTCCGTGGGCTGACTAGCTAATGGTCGACTTTGTTGGAAAGAATTTATCTTTCTAGATCATGCATTCTTAACTTTTTTTCCCCTGTCCCTAAAAGTTGTTGGTATTTGATTTTGCAGGTTGGTGACAATGTGAGATACAAAGCTTGTGACAGTCAAGTTTGTCTACAGCTCAACAAAAAGTCTCCTTTGTGTAACAGGACACTACTTTTTCGTGCATGGTTGTTTTATAGTATATAAGACAGCCTCCTCTTTGGAATTCTAATTTTTTTCCTTTGTGTTTCAAAATGAAATGCATTTTCATTTTGACAATGAGTCAACAAGACTGTTCTCCTTCCCACACTGATATGTCCAATCATCACTACTAATTATCTGAACTCATCAATTTACTATCATCCACATGGACCTTTCAGAGTCTAAAAACAATTGTAAACATAAATTCAACACTTTTACAATGTAAAAGACTTAAAGGGAAAAAAAAAAAAAAAGGCGAAACTTTTATGAGCAGACAAGTGTGAGACAGTCCTGGTAAGTGGGATGGCAAGGGGTGATGATCCAGAACAGCCAGTTTCCATGCAGGTTCACGATATACGTAGTGACACTGTATTTTTGTTATCACAGTGAAGTTTGTACTGTGAATTGGCCTCACGTTGCACAGGGTAATTGTGTTGATTCTTTGGTCACACCTAAAAGTGCCTGTGATCGTCTTACGCTTTTTCGATATCTTTGAGATCTGTAACTAGGATTGTGAACAGAGCATGAGCCTTTCTGTAGGAAACAAGACTATGTGAAAGTGGATGTGTCCACAGAAATAACTTTGGCAGAAGCATTAGCATTAGCCAAATGCTTTTTTTCCCTTTGCTCAGAAAGACCTTGGTCTAGCTTCAGGAGTAACTTGAATGAGAAGTCTGGCCAGGGAGTTGTAGCTGAAGCCATGAAAAATGATATATATTGGGAAATATAGAAAAGAGTTTGGACAGGCTGGAGTCTACCATGAGAGCTGGATATCTTTTATTTTCTATTACTGTCAAATACACAAAGAGACTTGAATAAGAGATGACAGTGGTGTAGTGCAAGTTCATCAGCAGCCACCAAAGGGGGGTGGAAGAGCATCTGAAAAAGCCAGTGGAAAGCAAGGCTGTTGATTTGATTTAGCCTCTTCAGTCTTTATTGGGAGTGGAGCCTTGTGGACATTACCCTGTCGTAAGGAGTGGTTGTGCTGCGCTGACACGTATTGCACAGTAAATGCAGACATTGGATGTGGCAGGGCTGTGCCAGCCCCCCGGTGATGCCTCTTCCCTGAGCCGTTTACCTTGCAGTGATGGGGAGGGGGTGTGAGAGTGGAGGGAAAAACTGAATTTCTCTCATGCTGGACATTTTGATAGTCAGCATTTTAAAATAAACAACTAACTTTGCATGAAAGCTCAAATAAGAAAGGTATAATGGAAGTAAAATTTTACTGAATGTTTAAAACTGGCCAATTATTTTCTTTTAGCATTTTTGATTGACACAATACTGTCTTGCAATATTTCTTTTGTTTATTGCTTAGGACTAACTTGAAAAATTGTTACCATCTAAAAGTGACAGCCTTTGTTTGTAGGAATAAGGGTTAATAACATGAAAATAAGAGACTTTAAGACACAGTGTCAGGGAAACACCACCTTGCCTCTTTTTTTAATTGAGCGTACATATACACTGCCTTTATATCTAATATATTTATATCTACCTTTCACATATCCTAAACTTTTATCTACCAATGACCTTATTAGTTAATATAGTAAGTTGAAATCATCTTTATTTTTTAGAATTGATATAACTCTTTTTGGAAACTTGAAACCTACTTTAATTTTTGAAACTGTAACAGAATCAGCATTTAACTGGTTTCTGCACTTAAATGCAAAATATTTTTCTGCTGAGGCTTTTGAAGGAGGAATGCATGATAAAATCCATACATCCAAAAAATACTAGAGTGCATGAATTGCTTCAGGAACCTTGTCTAAGGGTATAGTCTAATGTAAGTATTATAGTGCATTTTGCTGTAATAGGCAGTTATAAGCTCAAAAGTTCATTTTCTATGTGTATTTCTAAATTGGCTATTATTTCCCATTTTAAGCTATGAATGTTGATACATTGCCAAATTTAAGTCCTTTGACTGTAGCATAATTGCATTTCCAAACATCTGTAACGGAGTTTGGTACTATCTTGGGAAAAGTAAGTAGATTATTATCTACTGAGTTGCCTTCAGTTTACACTATTGGAAACAGTTGACATTTCTGTGCTTTTGAAGCATCAGTAGCGACATTTCTCAACCAATCTTAACTGGAAGAAGTAGTAATCTATTGTTGATAGTACATGATGTTTTTGTTCTACTGCAATTCTTCATTTAAGA